AATGCTACTCGAGTCGACAAGGTTGATATTGTCTCGTATGCCCAAACCTGCAGTCACGTCAAGTTAGACCCTACAGTATTTCACAAGTACATAACTACATAATAAATTACATTTAAATTTCACTGACCTAAAAAGCGTATGGAAACTCATACAAGCTATACGTCTCAACATGGCTGGAGTCCATAGCGACCTTTTGTTTGTACGCCTCGACCTTGTCCTTCAGAGCGTTCTTCAAGCTCCAGAGAGTTCTTTCAAAGATCATTGAACTCCAGTCATAATTACAGAAAACTTCCCACCAATCCACAATCCCAAGGAGGCTCGTGTCCATTTTCTGCTTCCTTTCCTTGCCCATCATGGCAAGCTCTAWGAAGTACACTATAGCAACCTTCACAGCGTCCTCGTCATTTTCGAATGTGTGTTCTAAAAAAATTTTCTCCAACTCCGAACACTTCACACTCGCCTTGTCTTCAAAATACAGAATCCTAAGTCTTCGGTTACGAACATCCTCATCTACCCTATTCATAGTGTGTCTAAGACCGGTTATTAGTTCGAACTCCCGCTTCCTAAAAGAGACCCTATTCCCAAATAGGTTAAAACTAATGAGGTCCTCTCTAGGTTCCTCCACCTCTCTAAGCAACATGTGATGGAGCAACGGACCGTTAAATACGACGTTCATCCCTAAAATCGGACCAAAACATGTTCGACTAAACATGTCTAACTGAGAGGGAGTTAACCTAGCCTTAAGACGAGAAGAGGTTTTCCCTACGTGAGCGAGGTTTGACAGCGCGGCTGGAAATCAGTCGTCTCGGTTGATTTTAAGTGTCATACTCATGTCTCCTGTAACAAAACAAAACAAAATTGGTTAAATATGTTGTCGATTCCATATCGGGCTTCTTCCAACTTAGAAACGGACCGGGTTGAAGCCTGGGATGGAATCCATAAAGGAAATCCCAGAAGGATGGACTTTCTAGAATCCATCTCGGGCCTCATCCCAGTTTGAAATGGACCGGGATGATTCCCAAGATGGAATCCAGAAATTCCATCCTGGATTCCATCTTGGGAATCATCCCGGTTCGAAATGAATTGAGATGTGTCCCGAGATGGAATCCAGAAAGACTTTCTGGGTTCCATCTCGGGACACATCCCGGAGAGGGTGGGGCCGTGACGAGGCCCGAGATGGAAGATGGAATCCAGAAAGACTTTTTGGATACCATCTCGGTCTTGTCCCGGTCCATTTCGAACCGATATGAGTCCCGAGATGGAATCCAGAAAGTCCATT